TTATTTATTTTTTTTTTTTTTGAACAAATGTAACTAATTTACTCCTGTGATGGCAAAACTTAATTTTCAGCAGCTTTCAGTCTTTAGTGTCACATGATCCTTCAGAAATCATTCTAATATGTTGAGCTGGTGTTCAAGAAGCATTTCTTAATATCAATGTTGAAAACAGTTGTGCTGCTTAATATTTTGTGAAAAACTAGTTACTTTTTCTTCAGGATTCTTTCATTTCCAAAGAGCAGCATTTGTTTGAAATAGAACACTTTTGTCATATTGTCTTAATTGTCACTTTATCAGTTACATGTACAGGTATCCTTACATACATTGCCTAAAGTATCAATTTCCTAAAAGAAAGTTTGCAAATATCTGTTCCACTATTGAGACTCAATTTAAATAGCATTTACTTAAAAAAAGGAAGAAAAAAAATCAATGTTGAAAACAATTGTTCCGCTTAATAATTCCAAAAGAAATATATAAATAAAAAGAAATAAATACAAAATAAAATTCTTTGATAAATAGAAGCTCAAAAGAACATAATTTATTTGAAATAGAAAAAAAAATGTAGACTATAAATGTATGTACTGTGTTCAGTGCTGATCCCAAACATTTGAATGATACTGATTTTTTCGACTACCTAATTACATTAAACAGTTTATCTGCAAAGTAATATAATTCATTGGTTGGTTCATCTGTTTTAGCAGTTTGCAGCATTTTGGAGCATTAATCTAGAATTGATATGTAGCCAGTCACGGGTGTGTCTGCTGCTATTTAATTGGCTCTGAACATGGCTCATACAATCTGATTTTATAGTTTTAAACCTTCAGGTAGTTAATGGATGTTTAAATGTTTAAATACTTAAATAGAGGCCGTAAACTTTTCTCTCTGTAGAGACAAAAGCATGGAGCTGTTATTTACAGTGGTGTGAAAAAGTGTTGGCCCCCTTCCTGATTTCTTATTTTTTTGCATGTTTGTCACACTTTAATGTTTCAGATCATCAAACAAATTTAAATATTAGTAAAAGATAACACAAGTGAACACAACATGCAGTTTTTAAATGAAGGTTTTTATTATTAAGGGAAAACAAAATCCAAAACTACATGGCCCTGTGTGAAAAAGTGTTTGCCCCCTAAACCTAATAACTGGTTGGACCACCCTTAGCAGCAACAACTGCAATCAAGCGTTTGCGATAACTTGCAATGAGTCTGTTACAGCGCTGTGGAGGAATTCTGGTCCACTCATCTATGCAGAATTGTTGTAATTCAGCCACATTGGAGGGTTTTCGAGCATGAACCGCCTTTTTAAGGTCATGCCACAGCAT